CAAAAAGCTTTGCCCGACCATGAGCAGCAAGTCCAGCCACCAGCCCCAGCCATTCCAGCAGCTCCAGGAGCCCAGCCGCTGCAGCACCCAGCTGTCCAGCCAGTTGCTCTGCCTTCACTTGTTCAGGCTGTGACTTTGGTCCATGGAGACCTACCGACTCCGCATCAAATTCAACAAGCTTGTGCTCCACTCCCAGGCACTGCCCATGCAGAGGAAAACGCTTCGCTACCACAGCAGCAGGCAAAGCTAGCGCCCAGCCAGCCTGCAGAGAAGACCGCAGCTCCCGAAGCGGATGGGAGGCTGCCAGCAACCCCCCATGCAAAGCAAGAGATCACAGAAGCAGAGTTGCAAGCCATGGGATGGCAAGTCCCATCTTCGTGCAAACCGCTTGGGCAGCCAGCCACGGCGACGGCAAGTGCAGGCGCAGCAGCCATGGCCCAACAACAGCAGCGACCCTCAGCAGTACAGCATCCATCGGCAGTGCAGCAGCCCACTCTGCAGAACTCAAAGCAGGAGCAGAAGCAACAGGTGTTCCAACCTGTGCAACACATGAACAAAAACAATGAGACATACTCGAGACGAGCTGCAGCGAACCTCATCAACAGGTTGAGGGATAACCCTGCCCGAGTTCAGGGCATGCCTTCGCTCCATGCACTGGTTTTTGATGAGAGCCGGAAATCTGAACTGATTCTTTGCGTTGCTTAAGGTGATGTTTGTTTTGCCCTCTGGATTTCCCTACGGGCGGATTTGCTTAGGGTGATGTTTTTCCTTGACCCTGCTTGGGGATGCTGATGTTCATTTTTCCTGGTTCCTTGACCATATCCAAGGATTGGGATGCTGTGTGAGCAGAATGGATCATTGAGCGGCGTCAGTGCCATTTTGCAGCTTCAAGAGGAGGAGGGCCGCATCCAGACTTCCCGCAAACAGGCGTTGCGCCTTACAAAGAAGCAGATGGTTGATGCCTATGGTGATGAGGCGGACAAGGTGATGAAGCATAAGATGGATAATGGTTTGGTGGAGCGAGATGAGAACAATCCAAATGGCTGGGTGTTTCTTGTTGCCAAGCGGGTGGATGAGGACGAGAACTTCAAGAGAAGAGGTTACTAGGCAAAACATTGCAAAACTGTTGTTGACGTTTGAAGACTTTTCTACGCGGTGGATGATTTTTTGTCTATGCTGTTTGAGGTTCTATCCTGACAAGCGGGAAGATTGCTGTGGATGATGAGAACAAGGATTCCATCTCCGATCTCATGAGTTTTGGTTGATTGGAAAGGTTTTTCTTGAGTTTCCTTGTGGGCGACTTTTTCGCGTTGGTTTTCTGCGCAGAATTGACCTTGGAAGCTTTTAGGAAGATGCCTGCGCCCAAGCCGAAGTGCTCCAAGCGCCTTTCTATGTTGCCAGACCAGTCATCGTCGTCAGGCACACCTACACCTTCTCCTTACAGTCCTGCAGCGCTGTCGGTTGCCCCTAGCACGCCGCAGGGCGATGGAAGGGTGGAGGAGCCGGCTCCCAAAAAGCCGAGGCGTCAGCCAAAGGACCAGTCAACTTTGACGCCGCTGGAAAAGGGCCGTGATATGGCTCAAAAATTGCTCAAGAAGAAGAGCGATTCAAGCCAGTTGGCGCTTACCTTGCAGCCTTTGCCGTATGGAGAGGCCTTGAAGACGGAGATGGACAAATTTTCTAGACTGTTTGAGTGTCCTGGTTGCACCAGACTCAACCTTATGACGCATTTTTTCAGCAGGACTTCTTCACCTTATGATGCTTGTGGCTGTTGCTTAGGGAGCTGTACTTGAAGGTCCAGCAGCTGGTGTCGGCGCAGGTGAATGAGGCTGGGCTTCTATTCCGCTTTGGGAGCCAACAAATGAAGCGCTTTGGGAAGCTTCTAGTTCGCAGGCTTTGGGGAACTTCTTCATTCGTGTGTTTGTTGAGTTCCACTCATCTGCTCCACTCATGTGTTGCCATGCGTGCAGGAGGCGGACTACATTCCCATGGTCAAGGAGATGCTGTCTTTACAAAGGCAGTACGAGAAGCCGCAGCAAGCTGCTTCAGCCATTGCTAAGCAAGCAAACAAGAAGCCGGCAGGGAAGTCGAAGGCTAAGGCAAAAGCCAAGGCCTGATATCATAGATATCCTATAGTTAGTTTACAGCTGACTGTTGAGTTGCTTGTTTTTAGCGTTTTTGCTTGCAAGAAGTGTTTTG